GTGAAAAGACATAATTGAATTAGTTCCAGTCCAAACAAGTAAATTAACAATTTTCTTTGAGAATTTTTCAATAAAATCATTTTGATCGCTCATCCTCAATTTTTAGATTAATAATAATTATTAAAAATTTTGGCATTTACATATGAATTTATAGTTAATCGATCCAATTTTGAATTGAAAACATCTGTTTTGTCCAGTAGAGAATAGATTTTCTCGATTTTCAATACAGTTTGGTGTTTCTGGGAATTTGCTAGTTTTCTCCAGAACATTCTTTGTTCACAAAAATGTTTCATGACGTCACGGCCACATTCTATGGCGAGTCGCTTGTTTGACATTTGCTTGACATTTTTCGTCATTATGGTGTTGCAACTGATGTTTATCATTAAATCACTAATACACACATCTTGCTCACAACGAAACCATAATTCTTCATTTTAAGTATATTTTTCGTGAAATTATTGGTACTTTTTTGAAACACACGATTATGTTGTGCAATATCTGATTTCATAACAGATTTTTCCATTTTAAAACTAATAAATTCCAATATATTTCTTACAGATTCAAGACAGAATCACCATGGTTTCCAATTCGGATCCAGGTGAAGATACCTCGGATGGTCGATTTAAACGCAAGCGAAAGCAAAAGCCAAACAACTCAAAGTTCACAATCAAAATCGAAAACGACGTCAAAGTGGAAAAGGTGGAACCAATTGATGACGCATATATGGTTCAATGCTCACCACCACCATCGCCAATCGAAGCAATTGGCGCGATTAAATCGGAGAGCGAGAGCGACAGTGAGGTGTGTAATAAATACGATCTTGATTGTGCGAAACAAGAAATCAAGAGTGAAGACGAAGAATGTGCAAAGAAAAGTTGCTGCTCATCAGGTGATGTTTCAAATCAACGCAAAGACGATAATCGGAATGATGGAAATCGATTTCATCCAGAACAAAACAAGTTGAATGGCGAAGGTCAAAGCGGACGTAATTCCAAGGGAAAGAAACGAAGAGGCGCAAAGAAGGAAAATACATCGAAAGATGCAAAGAAATCAGCTGTAAAGAAGGAGAAGAAATACAAATGTCATGTGTGTGATTATGCTGCATCGTGGAAAATCAGTCTCATCAGACATATCCGAAGACACACCGGCGAAAAGCCTTTCGTATGTGAAATATGTGCAAAGGCTTTTACACAAAAGAATCATTTGAATCGACACAAGAAAGTCCATGCCAACGAATTTTCATTCCATTGTCCAAAGTGTCGTCGTGGATTCGAACAAGAAGTCGAAAAGATTAAACACGAAAATCAATGCCAACATCGACAATATCAATGTATTGTATGCAAATACACCACTGATAATTTGTCAAGTCTCAAGAAACACATGCTAATCCATAGTGATGAGAAGCCTTTCCAATACCGCGTTTGTTCAAAAACATTTAAACGAAAATATCATTTTTGCCAACATTTACGCATTCACACCAAACAACTACCGTTTGCCTGCTCAAAATGTGGACACCGATTTGCTGTCGAAATCGACAAACAATCGCATGAGGATCGATGCAAGTGTCGACGATACGAATGCCATATTTGCCCACATAAATGTTTCAAGAAAAGTCATTTGAAATACCACATGCAATCAAAGCACACAGGCGAAAAACAATTTCAATGCAAAATGTGTGATAAAAAGTTTGTTTTGAAATGTCAGCTCAAGAAACATTTGGCGACTCATGCTAAACCGCGTCCAAATCGTTGCATCAAATATTGTCGTCGATTTGCAAACGAAGGCGATAAGAATGAACATGAAGAACAATGCAATCGTCGCCACTATGAATGTTACATCTGCAAAGTTTTAGTTCGCGATTCAATGCAACTAAGAGGTCATATGCGTAACCGGTCATACCGGTGACAAACCATTTCCATGCAAATGGTGCGATGCCCGATTCTCTCTTCAAGGCAACGCTAATTTCCACATGAAGAAACTTCATCGTCAAAAGAAGTGAAGATCCGCGCAACCCGATCACTACATTCCACACCAATGGATTACAACAACAGATATTCATCATTTACTCGCCACCATTTTATTCAAAGTACTTTTTCTATTCAATAAAATAAATTGACTTATAATTTCCAAATCATTATTATCATCAACTGAATTGAATCAAAAATGTCATAAATTCAAATGAAATTCATTGAATAAACACAAACTTTTGGTCACTTGAATCTTTGGCACAACTCATTCTTGGTCTCCATTTAATACATTGAAATAGACAGAAAAAGTATGTTTAGTTGATTAAAATACCATTGTTTATTATTTAAAAAAATGGTTCAATCAGGCAACAAATGAAAGTTGTTTGCAATAAACGAGATAATAATCTGATAAACTCTACACAAAATGTTTATAATGATCTTATGAATGGGAAATAGAGAAGTTCTTACTGAGAACGAGTTATTTAACACTTAACCGGGCAGGTTGGGTCTCTGAGGCCCGGTAGCGCATTTTTTTAAAAAAAAGTTACATAAAATCACATAAAATATTATTTTAATCAAACAAATTGTTTTGTAATATATTCTTTTATCCTTCTACTAATCGTTTATAAAAGTTGTTTTGAATTTGGTTCCCTAAGTATCGCTGTATTGAGGTTTGAACAACTACCGGGCGTACATTTTCCATACAAAATTTCATCAAATTTTTTAAAATGAAGTGCAAAATTTTTACTAAACGACTACTGAACATCCGATTCGGAATAAATATTGGTTATTTTTTCAGTTATATTTTACAAAAAACATATTTTATTCAATATCTATTATGTTAAAACAAAAATTTTCGTCTTATATATTTATATTTATTTATTCACCGTCTGATCACAGACTGATTTTATCACAACTATTTACAATATCATTTGCAATGAAACACTACCCGATCGAATACCAGCCGCCAGTCTTTTCGACTTCGGAGCAGCAGATATCGACTGTGTCCATTGTATATTACTATTCATAACACAATTTTTCTTAGTCTATTTTACCGAATATTAAATAACAAATTGTCCAATTTAACAATACTATTTCTAAAAATGTGTCTCGATGCCGATTCCAAAAATGTTTCTCTTATTAAATTAAAATTCCTACACGCTACGTAAAAAGGTTGACTATGTGCATATTCAGCTGTAAACATTCGTACTCTAATAAGTTCTGTATTTCTCAAATTTCTTTGGTTTACGTTATATTGCTGTCTTGTGTATACAATCTTGTCTCTAAGCGAACGCGACACTATTTTACCCAATAAGAGATCGTAAATTAAAAATATAGAGGCATTTATACGCCGTCTCCAAAGCGGTTGAATACTTAAAACATCACATCTAAACTGATACGGTGGCAATA